AAATTTGATTCGGTTCGCGACCAATTCGGTTTGCGGCCAGAGTCGTGGAACGAATTAAGTTCGTGAACTGAGGTACCACTGTACGTGAAACCACTACAACATGCAGAACCTCCTTAACAGGAAGGCCTTCAGCTTGTATGACAGAGCCAAGTCCACTCAGATGGCAGCTTGATTCCCTTTCCACGAAAGCTATCTGTTTCCAGCTTGTAAGTGGCCCTACCCCTTGTCTTGTCACTGCTTGGTATCAATGACCCATGGAATGCTCATGTACAGTTTTGTTTCTCCTTAAGAAGTAAAAGGTCAGTTTAGAGTCCTAAGGAGACAAGAAAAAGTTCCTAATGGGGGTTTCAGACCAAGCCCCACTTTGGAAGTTGTTTTGCATGAAGGATGCAATCCTTAAATTACAGCAATAATATCTGACATTACAACAATGGGGATTTATAGTGTGGCACCCAGGCAGGGTAATATTTTAACTCTGCCTATATTTAAAGGTTGCCTTAGCATTCAGTCCTGGGGGGTACAAGTGTAGCAGGGAAAGGCACAAGGAATGTAGCCTCTTAACTACGCTCACTATGCCACAGGTAGTACAGAAGCAAACTATAGTCAGGAAAATGCTGAATTTCCAAGGACCTACCAAACAAATATTCAGCCTTCCTGATGTCAGGAAGATACAATGAAAGGGGAGAATGTTGAATCAATTAAAATTTAAGAAGATGACATTCCCTGGTTGACTTTATGTAGATTGTTCTGATTTCCACTTCATTATAGTCCATAGTTATTGCTTAGGCAGACATTGCTCTGCACATCTAGAATTTAAAGCCTGTGATGATATAAATCGTAAACCACAAAACCTATGAAGTTCTGGAATGTCCTTCTGTGAGAAGAAATCGGGATTAAAAAAATGTTTGGCAGCAGTATAGAGGCAATTAGATTAAAACTAGAATGTGATGGGAGCCTGGAAGTCTGTTAAGGGTAACCTCGCCTTAAAAAAAAATCAATAGTAGTGAAGAGAAATCTGGAGAAATTTCTCCAGGTTCTGTTTGATTTGTAATCTGGCAGCTGTTCTAAACTGAGATAGATCCTGGAGATCTCAGGGTTGCCATTATTGTGTTCGAGTGTGTATGTATACATTATGTAAAGACCTAGCTTTCTAGAGCAGTGTTTCTCAATCTTGATAACTTTAAGATGTGTGGATTTCAATTCCCAGAATTCCTCAGCCAGCATGCTGGCTGGGGAATTCT